CTTCTAAATTAATTTTACAAGAAAAATTATATAAAATATTCAAGATACTTCACAATAATAAGGCCCCAGGCAAATCTCAAATTAGCTATAAGATATTAAAGAAATTAAGCCAGGATAGAAAATGATATCTGAGAAAAATGCTTAACAACTTCTTGAAATAAGAAGTTACTCCTATATTCTAGAGGCAAAGTTATATATATCCCATAGTCAAGTCAAAGTCTTGGGATTATAAACTTTTAAATATGAAACCTATTATATTATTGAAGGCTACTAAAAAGTGTTTTACCAAAGTTCTAATCAACAGAATAGGAAATATTTATAAGATCAATAATATCCTTAGAGAACACAACTATGCAGGGTTACTAGGAGAAAGTATGACAGAACCAATCCAAATTCTTAATAATATCTGTGAAGATATAAGAGAGAATAAAAAAGAGCTATGAATATTGTTTCGAGACACAATCAAAGCTTATAACATTATTAGTCTAGATATGCTAGTAAAAGCAATAGAAAGAATCAAGGCACTAAAAGGTTTTATCAAGATTATAATAAGCCTTTTCAAAAACAGAGAATTCAAAGTCATATTTGAAGATGATCTTATCAATTTTATAAAAGCAGGAGAGGGAATTGATCAAGAAGAGACCATTTTACCATTAACGTGGAGAATCTTCCATGACCCTTTACTATACAAAATTCAAAATAACACAAATAGAGAATATAAAATGTCAGTTACTTGGAATTCAGACTTTAACAGTTACAAGGTTGAAAAGTTAGAATCAAAACAAGTTGCGATAGTCTTTATAGATGATACAATATAAATAACAAGATCCAAGGAAGATATAGAAAAGATCTTGAAGACAGCAAGAATTTTTTATAAGGTCAATGACTCTTAAATTAATAGTAACAAATCAGTTTTAGTTACTATTAATAATTCTAACTATTATCCAGAAGAAATCCAGGCAAACATTAAAAAAGAAGTAATCAAAGAGCTTGACAGAGCAGATCAAGCAAGATTTCTAGGAATTTGAATAGGCAACCAAAAGACTTTGATCAAATTAAAGAAAAGAATACTTAAAGAAATTTATGTAATTATTAAAGACCTCAAAAATAAAAAGGTGATAAATAAGTAGGCATTCTATATTTTAAATAGGGTATTAATATCAAGGATATAATTTAGAATACAATATAGCATTTTTCCTGAAAAATATGTAACATGTTAATAGCAGTATATAGAAAACTCTTCAAACACAAAAGTTTATTATGCAGATCTACTTCCAACAGTATAATATATCACCCAAAGATCCATAATTTGAAGAGAATCTGGATATTACAAAAAGAAAGTCAGATAACAGGATTGTGCAATAGATTGAATGATCTTGGACTAGTAGGAATCACAACAATCATAAGGCTCAAACAAGTACAAATCAATTATTGAAAACCACTCAACCTGCTGACTTGTGACTTATTAGACTATTTTATAAACAAAGGCAACTTTTACTTCAAATAATTAAGTTAGTTAGATATATGGAAATTATTTTTCAAAGTTGAAAATAGTATGATATCTTTGAATAGGAAAAAGAAAATAGTCTGATCTAAGAATATTTCTTACTTGAGAAGTATAATAAAGCTATACTATCACTAAGAAACAACATAAAGATATATATATATCAGCCTATTGACTATAAAGCAAATGAAGTGAGAAATTGATGCATGCTCTAACTCATTCAAAAAACTGGCAAAGGTTCTATCTAGTGTTTATAATTTTGATCTGAATCTGATTGAACTATGAATCAGATATGAATTAGATCAGATCAAATTTCAAAATTTTTAATATGATCAGATTCAGATCAAATCAAATTTTAAATATACAAAATTATTGAATTCAAATCAGATTCAGATCAAATCCATACAGATTCAAATTGGATTTGGATCAAACCCGATATAATTCAAATCAGATATATACCAGTCCATATAAATTGTTATATAATAATTTAATTTCATTTAAATCGAACTATCTCGAAAATTAAAATTGAACTATCTAGGAAATTAAAATTGAATTATCGAGAAAATTAAAATAGTTTTTTTTTTAAAAAAAAATAATATAAAAGGCAAGTTAAAAAAAATTCAATACTTGCTCTTCTTAATGATTTTTTAACCTTTTTTTGTGATATTAAAGTTTTGCTGCTTAATTACTTTCATTGTATTCTTTGCTTTACTAATTTATTTCTTTTAAAAATAGAATATGAAAACTCATTTGATAGCATACAATTTGCATATGATGAAAATAGCAGTTTAACTAGCCATGATAATATTGATACTGAAAATACTAATACAAGCAATTTGACCCCATTTATGAAATCATAGATTTCAGTAATGGGCAGATTCCATTGAACCTTAGATATAATTCATTACTATTCAATAGTTAGGTAGATTTCTCATCTATTGGAATCAGCCTCAGTTACCTCAACAATTTCTAGAAGTAAAGTATGGAAACATTTTACACAAAGCGCAAGTTTTAAAGAGGACAAAAAGGCTACCTATAAATATTGTAGAATGATATATACTTGTAGTGGAGGTAGTACTTCTAATCTAATAAAACATCATAAAAAAACTCATCTGACAAAATTAAATATAATAACTGGCAATACTGAAATTACCAATTTTTTTAAAACAAGGTAATTTCAAATAATTTTTAAATTTTTAAAAAAAATAATATTAATTTTTTGTATTTATATATAGTGGACATATAACTCAACAAAAATGAAAAAAAAACTTGTTCAATGGATTATTATCAACTAGCAATCTTTTACTGTTGTCCAAGAACCAGCTTTCCTTGCTTTTGTACAAACATTAGTACCAGATACAAAAATATTATTGACTACTTCTATTAAGACCTGTATAATGGACTTTTATTTAAATAATCAAGAAAAAATTAAAAAAATGTTGCAAGAAATAGAAAGCCGTATTTTATTTATATTTGATATTTGGACATCAATTTCAATGAAAGCATTTTTAGATATAACTGTTCATTTTATCAATAAATATTGGAGAATGCAAAGTATAATAATAGAATTTATACAGTTGTGAGGTACCCATTCGAGTAAAAGTATTAAAGAAACATTTTTATTATGTTTAAAGAAATTTATAATTCAAACAAATGTAAATTTATTTATATATTTAAAATAAATATAATATAAGACTAAAACCAAACTGACTCTCTTTCCCATTCATCTATGGCACAGTAAACTGGAATAAAAACCTTCATTTAAAACACAATATACGAAGAGTAACCAGGAGCACAAACTCTCACTCAAGATCCAACTACAATGAAAATACACTTTTCAAAGGCGTGGCCAACTCCATCAGAAAAGAAACAAACTCAAAAAGCACGAAGAAACCCAATACCTTCACTGGACACAACCCTCCCAACATGAACCCACTTCCCAGTACTTCAAACAAGGCACCCTCCATCACTCCCTGAAATCATAACCCTTCGATAAACACTCAACCAGACAACACTGAATCTTGGAGCAAACAAGTAGAGGAAAACCTAGCAAGACAAACCTCGGAACCAAACCTTACCTCCCTCCAACTCCCCTCCAAAGGGAAAGAAAAAAAGATACTGATAGCAAAGAACCCACCATGCAACCCAAGAGAATCAACAACTTTGACATCGAAATGATGGATAATAGTAAACCCGAACTTGTAGGACTTGTAACAAACAACACAAAGTGACAAAAAGTAGGAAACAGAAACTCTCACTCTCAACCTAAATCTCTTTTTGAATTCCAAACTATATATGGTATTACTCAAACCAAAATTGACATAATAGTTGACGAAGTTCTCGATGAAACCATCAGCAAAAAGATCCTTGCTGTAACCAGAGCCCTTGGATCTCCCAAAGGCCTCCTTAACATTAGAAGCAAATCTCACAACAACATCCTCTACATCACAATCCTCTTCGGTAACAAGGAAGCAGCCCATTGGAAGCACCATAATACTACCAGATATGGACAACAAGAAACTCACACACATGGAGATCAGCAGCCCTATTACCAAACTCGAGAACAGTATCAGAGTATGGGACATCCCACTATACACAAAACTTATAGATATCTAACTACTTTTACCAGATTTGGAATAATCATCAATATTACCATGCTAATACAACAAATGTGGCAAACTGCAACTATCACCTATCAAGACAAAAAAAGCAGAGATCAACTTATAACCCAGGGTAGTACACTAATTAAAGGAGACTCAATAAGAATCTTCAATGCAACCCTCAACATGGAGCAGATGAAAGACAAGGTCTCTATCACAACCAAACTCATAGGACTTTCTCCCAATACAACAGCCTTCAACCTCAAACATATACTAGAACAAATCGATAGCAAAACTTGCTAAATCCCCATCACATGTCATACATTAGGAAAAGATTCACAGTCATCAGCTTTGAAACCAAAACTAACCTTGACAATGCCCTGAACAAAGTATTCATACTAGGAGAAACAGATGTCACCCTTCTCCTAATAACCACTAAACTTTGCATCATATGTAACCAGGCCGACCACCTAGCTGCCCAATATCCCAGGTAATGATGAGTCTCTAAAGTATTTAGTATATAAAATTTTGCAGATCACTTATGTTCTTTTTTGAGGAACAAAATTCACAATTTTTCACTTCAATAGGGACAAAAATCAGGAAATACTATAAATCAATGATTTGGATAATGGAGAACAATTGTGAGTAGTTTTTTTATAGTTATTAATTTAAAAATTTTAATGTTTTCTAGTGAAGGACATTTGACTTATGTCCCTGTCTCCCCCTTTAGGGACCCATCTTTAGCCCCAGGAAGAAAACATGACAACAATGAACCTAATACAACAAGGAACAAGCTAAAATATTTGGCAAGCTATACAACAAATTCCAGCTCATGGGCATCAGAAATATCTATCAATATACCCCAGCTGCCCCAAAGACAAAAGCTTATGGATCATATGTCACAGCTCTCCGATCCCACCATCACCAACAATCACAAAGTAATCAAGAACAAGACTTTCTCTCTAACATTCTACAAACCCTCAATATGATCAAGGAAGAAATTGCTGAAATCAAGAAAACCATCTCAGATTTTGATGAACATATTATCAACCTTGAATACTATGATGAAGATGGCATAACAATATGAAAACAGATCTCAAAACATCTTCACCCTTCAACTCTACATGACTATTATCCCCAAACCAAAATCAGACATACAAGAAACATAACACTAACTCCACTCCTCCATTAATAAAATGGACTGAAACATAAACACCATCATGAACACAATATCCACCTTAATTCTGAACAATCCCATCTACCCATTTATCTCACAATAATGGGGAACAATCAAAGCAACCCTGAGAATTCAAAATAAACTTATGAGCAATCGAACAAGAACACAACACACACCAACTTTAATAACACTTCAGACATCCATATGCAAGACACACCTATACTGACCTCATCCACACTGATATAAACCTCTATACGACACTTAAAACTAATAAACCCAGCACAACTATACAATAATTCTGATTATACAGACAAACCCTATCTCACCATTACAACTCTAAACTGTCAAGAACTCAAAGATGAAACAAAATGCTCCATATGGAAGAAGACATGAATACAACAACAATGGGACATCATAATCTCAACTGAAACAAACCAGAACAATAACAACAACTCTGGAAAGCAAATGCATACACTACCTGGTGGGAAGGCAAAGGCCACGGCACAGGTGTCAGTATTGCAATCCAATACAACCTCAGGGATAGAGTCATCAACATCAATAGATACGAAGACAGAATTCTTTGCATCGATCTAGCTTTCCCTAAAAAGAGATACATACAAATCATAGGAACATATTTACCTGCTACACTTAACCAGCAAAAGAAAAGATTAATGCAAACAATAACCAACTTGATTGTCAAAAAAAAACAATGAGAACTAGTACATAATTCTAGCCAGTGATTTCAATGCATATCCAAACTGTCACAAAGATAAGTATAGCCCCACAAGAAGACACTACTCGAATAAAATCGAACCCTTCATTGACAAACTCACCACAATGAACATAATAGACATATACTGCTACCTCTACCCATACTCCAAAGAATATACATGGTCCACTAAATGGATAGTCAACTCTCCAAAAAGTAGAATGGATGCAATCTGGATCTCCTCACTCTCAACCTGGTGCCCTATAAATGCATATATCACAAAACAAAATATAGTCACAGACCACAGGGCAGTCTCAACATACATAGAAACATGGCAACTTCAAATTTCTATCAAATGTTTCCATCACCCCACAAATGCAACCAGATTTAACTGGACAGCAACATCTGTATAGTCTTGGTAAAAGTTTGCAAATTAAATAGATTCACACATGTTCACCTGGAATCAGATGATGAATGAGGATGCAGATACTAACAAACTCTGGACCACTCTTTGTAACTGGATTCTAGTAGTAGCAAATAGCCAAATCACAAAATACAAAGAAAGAAAAAGGAAAAGAACAAAAAACATTTCTTCACTAAGACCATATTTCTGCTCCAGCTAGCAGAAGCCAAGTACTAACTCATATATCTCAAGAACCACAATTCGAAATTTAACCCATTCACCTTATCATCCCTAACTAAAAGTATTCAAGAACAGATCCCTTCTCTAACCATCAAGGAAAGTGACAATCTCGACTCAACGATCAAAAAAATTGAGCAATGGATTGGCACTGAAAAACTCAAACACAAAAAATCCATTGACCAACAAATCAAAAATAACATTCAAAAAGCAAGATCCAGATATCAGAACTGGTTTGACACAAACAAAAAGCAAATGATCAAATCCCTACTCAACCAACCCAAGCGAAGCATCATAATCAATAGACTTATCAAAGAAGTTCAAGATGAGGAAACAGTCATCACAGATCCTATGCAGATAAAACAAACAATTCGGTAACACTTTGAAGACTGGACATATCAACATGATATCAAAAAAATCAAGGGCACTATCTGAAATACAGAATATCAGCCCAAGAAGGACATCAAAGCCAGCTGGTATGACCTTACCATCCAACCCTTTACCCTGGAGGAAATCCAAACTATCATTAGTAAAACAAGTAACAAATTTACCCCTGACCCATCAAACATACTATATATCACTTTTAAAAACCTAAATAAGGATAGTCTAGTAGGCCTAACCAGATTCTTCAACACAATCCTCACTAAAGAAAAGATACCAGAGGAATGGAAACATAGTACTATCTACCCCATCCCAAAACCTAAAGACTGGGAGCACAACATAAATATTATTAGACCCATAATGCTATTAGAATTTATCAAGAAGATCTTCACTAAAGCTATTTGCACCCGACTATCAAATACATTAACCAAACACTATATACTCTTTGAACACAACTGGGCTGCTCTATCCCAACTAAGTACTAGGGAACCAATCGCTATTATTAACGGAGTTCTAAAGGATACTTGGGAAATACACAAATCATGTTATATGCTTTTTCAAGACATGAGCAAGACCTTCGACACAGTCAACATCAACTACCTAATTCAAGCCATGCAAAGAATCAAAATTCCAACTAAAACCATCAACATAATTCAAAATTGTTTCACTAATAGAGAAAACTCAATAATCACATATTTTGGAAACACAAACTCCTATCCCATTCATAAAGGAATTGATCAAGGTGACACAATATCACCTATCCTCTAGCACATTTACTATGACCCGCTCATCACCAGAATTAGCAAGATGCCTGGATACAACCTTTGAACACATATACAAGATCCTCACTGTCTCATACAATTAAATATAAACATCTCCATAGTATCTTACATGGATGACACAACCTTTATCACTCAAAACAAACAACATTTGAAAGACATAATCAATATCAACAACTTCTTCTACTTACTAAATTACATTACTGTCAATCCCAACAAATTGAAACTTCTCATTATAAATACCCAACAACAAAGTATCACCATCAAGGAACACACCATCAATCTTATCAAAAAAAAAATAATGTTATCAGAGTTCTAGGGGTATGGCATAAAATATGATCAGGAAAAAAATCCAGAGAAGCCTAATATAGAAAAAAACCAATATGATATACTCCATGGCAGAAAGGAAAACAAGCAACGACAAGATGCATAAATACATAATCAACAATGTTCTCTTTCCAACAATCGAATACTTAACTGGAAACCTAGTCCTCAGTCAGCTAGAAATTCAAGAAATCAACCGCAGGATCAAAAGAAATATAAAGTATAAAGCCAACCTTGCAGCAACAATTTCTGACTCCATCCTCTATTTCAAAACATACTATGGCATCCATAATATTTAAACAAGACAACTTTAAAAACATGCAAGTGATCTACAAGATCTCCACATAGCTCAAAACACTGTGGAACAAATCTGTCACAACAGGATACAAAACCTATAATGGCTTGCATGATAGAAAGACTCTATCTTGAAGAATTGCCCTACTTTTCTCAAAACAGGACACAATTTCTACCATGATATCCTAAATAACCTTCAACAAAACCATATAACCATCCTTAACAGAACCAAAGCCAACAATCCCAGGGATCAAGTTCACCACATAAGTGAGATTATCAACCAAAACTGGTATCCCACACATAGAGAAGCCCTGAGATGCTATCACATCATGTATATTGAACAGACCTTAGATACCTTCAAAATCAAAACTTTATTATGGCATCAGATAGGGGAATTACACAACAAACTACATAAAAGAAAAGAACCCAGATAATACTTCAACTTCATTTCGATCAGCTTAACCTTTCTCAAAAATAAAAAAAGTTCACAAGACATCAATGTATTCACCAAATCAAATATGCTCCAACTAGTACCAGTACATCCACCTGGTACTCAACAATAATTAACCAACAATTAGCAATAGGAAAAAGACTAAGTAGTAACAAAGAACAAACCAAACTCAGATATTACCAATACATAAACAACTCCCCACTTACAGCTTATAATGGCTGTAACCTAACAAACTCCAAGGATGGTAGAAGCAATATGTGTTGTATCAATACCCAAAACGACAAGCTAGGCAAAATACAAGTCATTAAAACAACTAAATCCAGAACCAACAATGAATCAATAAATACCTTCCACACATAAATATCACCTGGAAGTATATCCACCTGGTGACAACAACCCAATGATACTGTCGCTATAGTAGAAATCGATCCAATCCCAAAACAACTTCTCAAACTCAACAAACTAATCAAAATGCCTAAGACAACTCTCACCCAAATGGAAAACCTCATCAACAAAATAAAGACTAACAACAACCTTGACATATACTGCGATGGAGCCTTCAACCTAGCAAAAAACAACAAGAAACTGGGAATAGGCATAGTTCTCAAAGACCTCAAGCACCAAGCAACAGAAATAACTATAAGCATAATAGCCTCAGGTTCCAGTACCACTGCAGAACTCCTAACAATTCTCATCACTATCAACCTAATTAACTATGGAAGCACAAGCAACATCTACTGTAACTCCTCAATAGCTATCAAAGAAATCAATGAAGCCACAACCAAACCAGTGAAAAAACACAAACACATCAAACTAGTTAGTGCAATAGTCAAAACAATAAAACAACAACACCTAAAAATCACATGGTATAAAATCCAACCAGACAACTTAGCAAAAGAACATTGCAGAGCAGACAAGCTTGCCCAAGAAAGCTTAGACAACAATATGCCCAATATGATAGGCACTCTCACACATTACATCTCCTAAAAGAAACTTATAATCTTCAAACTCCATAATACTGAAATCCTCAAAGACATCAGACAAACCATCACAACAATACAACAGGCATGACACACCTGGGACTGGACCAACCTAAAAAGATACAAAGAATTGACAGATAAACAAAAAGAGAAAATAGACTGGAAAAATTCATTAACGAACCTTCATCCCTCCAATATAAACTCACCACCCTGCAACATATAGAACCACAGAATCAGAAACTTCTCCATAAAAATATGGAACAAGGAACTACCAACCATGTCCATACTCAAAAAATGACACCCCTGCACATTTGCTACTAATATTTGTTTTGCATGCATGGATATAGAAGACAACAAACACCCCTTTTTATGCAAACAATATGGCCTAAATATCAAAGAACTAATAGCCAACATCATCAGCAGAGAAATAATAGCAAGAAAGGATGGCCCCACCAACACCAACATAAAATCTGAAGCCTCAACCAGCCTCAACAACCACAATACTTGGGACATATTAATCAGAGGCAGAATCAGCAAGGGCATAACCAAACTTATAACACAACACCTGGACACAAACAGAATAGTAGAAACCATCAGAGGTATAATCAATAACATTAAATTTCTCACCTTCAACATATGGGAAGATACACTACTTGAACAAAAGTATCGCATGTCATTTATTTATTAA